AGAGAGAGAGAGAGAGAGAGAGAGAGAGAGAGAGAGAGAGAGAGAGAGAGAGAGAGAGGGGCTGGTGGTAACCCACCTGGATATGGCCGCTGCTTCCTTCGCTTCCTCCCAGTGCTGCGACCCTAGGCTCCTTCGTGCTGCTGTTCGCAGCTGCACGGGATGTGGCTGAACGATGAAGTGGGGAACTGCTTCCTGTTGCAGTGAACACGAGAAGAGGCGTACGAGACGACGAAGACGGCGACGACGAGACACTGCGGCCGTGAAGGACTGCGTGGCGTCGGGGCACCAAGGTCGACTGCCGGGCTGGGGGCCGACGTGGGGCAGGTTCGAGCAGTTCAAAAAATGAACTGCTTGGATCTCCCCGCTCTTTTTTTTTTGCGGGGGCATTCGCGGCCCCAAAATTTTTTTATTTTTTTTTTGTAGCCGGCGGCGCGAAGTCCCTAACGGGCATACAACCCCCCCCCTCCCCCAATTTTTTATTTTTTTTTTGGACCCCTCGATTTGCCTGTGCGCCGCATGGCATGCGCTCGCATCATGCGCGCTGCAGCGCATGCCGATGTGCCGCATGTATGATATATCGGCTCGGCAAAAACAGGATCAGAGGTAGTGGTGGTTTAAGTAAGCTACATTCTTTCAATTTCACCTCACACTACCTACCTACCACTACAACTAATTATAGTCATACGAGGAACCCCGTAGCAGCCAGCATCGTGTTCACGAGAGAACATGCGGGGGCTGATCCCGACTTGCAAGTGGGTGATACCGGCCAGGGGACAGCCGGTAGCATCAGGGACCATGCCAACAGGACCAATCACTGTGCCTCCCTTCAGGTCCCCTCCCCTACGAACATCAGCAGACTCTGCTCAATGCCGAACGGGGGATCCAGTGGTCTATCTCTAGGTGGCGGGCGCCAAGAATGCCCAGTGGGACTTCATGTAGCACAGGCACAAGGTGTATGATGATCATCATTTTCACCACTAAGTTGCTAGTTCAAGGAATATGAGCGAGAGCGATAAACAGAAATCCAAGTTGGAAAATCACGAAGAAGCTCAGACAGTCATGAACCAAGCAGAAAGTGCAATGCACCAAGATACCGTCCAAATAAGAGCAATACAATGAACTCAAATGTCAATGCCGACTCTCTGTGGTCACACCAACACTGTATACAATGTCGCACTTACTGTCTGGCGCCCAGCGCCCCGCCTAGCCTACTCAGCCTATCTAGCCTATCTACGTTCTTGCCAGTGGATCAGTCTGAAGTCGAAGACCAATATACGTGACGTCAACAGCAATTCCGACCACCAGCATACACCAGGTAAGTTCTCTCCTCCCCTCATCAGCCCTCGTTTTCCCACAGCATGCGCCTCCTACCGTGTCCGCATTGCCTGCCTAGGCCAGAATGTCACTGCCAGGGGCTCACACTTTCCTTTATGGAAAGTGTGTCACTGCTGGCTGTCCTGGCCAGGCGTGTGGGGGCCCAGTAGCTTCAGTTGGGCCCCAAGTGTGTGCGCCCAGGCCCAGTTTCCGAAACTGGTCTGGGTTCAGGCAGCCACCCAGCCTCCAAGTGTTTGCGGCATTCTCATTGGCCCGCGGCACATTTGTGCGACAATGCTGCTTCCTCATTGGGCCATAACCAGTCTGTGTCGGCCTCACACAGCGTGTGCCCAGGGCGCAACCGCCCGAGCCCTGGGCTCAACTGTACAGCGCAGCCCCAATTTTTCCGTATGTGGTTACTCAGACAGTTGCAGCACGCCAGTTGGTTACAGCACAACATGGGCGGGCACACAGCCCAGAACACTTGTGTGTCTGATAAGGGCTCTGCGAGGCTTATTCCTCGCACTAGCCAGGTAGTGGAATGGTTGGGAAAGGGGTTCACCAGGGTCGACGCGTTGAGCATGGCTAAGTCCCGCACACTGCGTTCCGGTATGCGGATCGTAGGCACTCCCTCCTCTTCTCACTGTTCTACCTGTCTAATCCCGGTTATCTCTCACATACATTCTTGCTATATAAATTCAGTAAGTGCAGTCATCTCTCTTTCTAATCTAAACTTTGGAGTTAGTGTGGTCGAGAGGATCGGCTAATGAGTGCTAGTGTTCTGGTGCTGCTGCTTCAATGGCCTATGGAGATGAAACACCATCTCTTTGGCAGTCCACACTCCAAAGGTTGTTGCAAACTGGTGGTGCAGAGGTGTGTTCAGCACACAATGAGGATGAGAGTTAGATGCAGCTGATACACTCCCGAAGAAGGGGAACATTCCTCCATGTTGCTTCTCCTGCGCATCATTTTGGATCCCATGACATGATGACACCTTACCGTCTCTTTGACTTGAGAGAAAGAAAGGGGGATGCACACCTATCCGTCTCTTTCTTTACCTGCGTGTGTGGTTACGTCTTGCTGGTTCGATTTCATGACCGCATCTTTGGATGCTGAAGTGTTGTTTGTTTTCCTGTTTGATGTTTGTGAACTGCAATGTGCAGGTGTTCTCTGCAGATATGTTTGCATCCAAGTTCAAGGATAACGTTCTGAGCAGGCCAGCAGGCAGAGAATACAGGGATAAGGTAAGGCGGTTGATTGTGGGACCTCGTTTCATTTTTCAAATATCGATACGGTAACCTAAGGGCGTTGCTCCGCTACACAACCCTCAACATGCATTTGAACACTCTCTGTGCCAGGTGCATGCGGACGATTCCCACATTTCGGGTTCAGAGAGTGTTGAAATGCATCTGAAGTGATTTAGTTTGAGAGCGGTAATCGAACTCGCATGATCCTTAAAAAAAAAGAAAAAAAAGAAAAAAAAAAAAGGAAGTCGGATGATCCTGTTGTTAGTGCCTCTCATTCAGAGTGCGGTATTTTGGTGGATCTGGCGTTGATAGTACGTTGGTTTGACTATACACACTACATACTAACTGTTTTCGCTTCCCCTGGGAGGATCATGTTAACCATTCAGCACACTCCGTTTCGATTGATGATGGACTTGGCATGGTAGTCCCTGACGTCAGTTTGCCCTCCATTCTTTTGTGTCTACGTTTTGCTGTTGTCCTTCACGTCGTGTCTCTTTCATATCTACCATGCAGGTGCTCCGGCCAGGGGGATCATTGGATGCAGCTGTGATTCTCCGAAACTTTCTAGGACGTGAACCGACTGATGAGGCGTTCTTGGAGAGCAAAGGGGTTACCAAGGCACGGCTTGCCTTGGCCGCCAGCAAAGCAAAAGGCCCTGCATCGGGAAGTGGAGTCTCCGCGAAGGGGGTATGATCGTCGCCTCTTTGAGTGAGTCATTGAGCCAGCCCGCGTCTGAAACAATAAACCGAATAAAACAGTGAATGGGCTGAGATGTGTGGCAAAACTTCTTCCTCCTCTCCGTCCTCTTCTTCTTCTTCTTCTTCTTCTTGGTTGTCGTCGTTGTTGTCGGCAGCTGCGTCCTCTTCTCCTTTCTCCTCCCCCTCTGCTGCCGCCTCTTTTCCTCTCTCCCCTGCTTCCTTTCAAGTGTGCTACATGTGCCAAGAACTACCTGTTCTCCATCTTCCTCCTCCTCCTCCTCCTTCCCTTTCTTCTTTCCAAGCATGCCGCACAGCAGTACATTCACTGCTCAGAGAATTTATGTCCACCTGTCCCAGTCATGGGAATGAAGGTCCTGAGGTCGATCCTTGCTTGATTCGTCATATTTAACGTTTTCTTTAGAGCTGAGAACAATAATGATGGGCATTTTTCTATCGTATTGTTTTTTTTTTCTCCCTTGTGGCGTCGGCTGTAACTGCTGGCAAGCTACGTTTGCTCATGTGATCAATATGAAGTGCCGTGCATGTAGGACAGGAGTTCGTCTATGTCTGGTCCACAAGTGCTCCTCATGCTCGTGCTATGTCTCTGCCAGTTTCTCAATTACGCCAACCCACTGCTTTTGGTCATAGGCTCCCAATGTGCTCAGCGAAAATTTGATCCCCAGACTGAGCCTTCTTACCGTGGGGTATGTCCGGCATGCCCCCCATGCTAGAATGACATCCACGTAGTCAGCCCCGTCAATAGAGATTTGAACTCCAGAGAAGATAAGGCTTGGTTTTGGAACAAGCATTGAGAGAGAGAGAGAGAGAGAGAGAGAGAGAGAGAGAGAGAGAGAGAGAGAGAGAGAGAGAGAGAGAGAGAGAGAGAGAGAGAGAGAG